ATGCCAACGACGCACAAATCTATCTCTCAACCCCCCACCTCACCCCCTCGGTCTCCGCCCAAATCACACACCTACTGAGCGACATATCAGACTGGATGTCGCTCCACTTCCTTAAACTGAACCTCTCCAAAACCGAGTTTCTTGTCTTCCCCCCCAGCCCGGACACCACCCCCCACTGACTTCTCCATCATGTCCAACAATGCAACCATCAAACCCGCCCCGTAGGCCAGAGTACTTGGTGTCATTCTGTACTCCAACCTATCCTTCCAGCCCCAAGTCCAATCTTTAACAAACTCGTGCAGACTCCACCTCCGCAACATCGCCAAAATCTGCATCTTCCCAGAAACCACTAAACAGCTCATCCACTCCCTCATCATATCACGACTCGACTACTGCAACTCCCTCCTCACTGGCCTGCCTCGCCACAGGCTATCCCCGCTTTAGTCCATCCTGAATACGGCTGCCAGACTCATTCACCTTTCCAACCACTCCGTCTCTGCCACCCCCCTCTGCCAATCCCTCCACTGGCTTCCACTCAGTGTCCTCCACCCCCCTCTGCCAATCCCTCCACTGGCCTCCACTCAGTGTCCTCCACCCCTCTCTGCCAATCCCTCCACTGGCCTCCACTCAGTGTCCGCCACCCCCCTCTGCCAATCCCTCCACTGGCTTCCGATTGCGCAACGGATCAAATTCAAAATCCTAACACTGACGTACAAAGCTGTCCACCATACTACCCCGAACTACATCACCGACCTAATATCCAAGTACCACCCAGCACACACACTCCGCTCCTCACAAGGCCTCCTTCTCTCTAGTTCCCTGGTCTCCTCCTCCCATGCCCACCTCCAGGACTTCTCCAGGGTGTCACCCATCCTCTGGAACTCCCTGCCCCAACCCATCAGATTATCACCTACTCTCCTCTCCTTTAGGTGCACCCTGAAAACCCACCACTTCAGGGAAGCCTACCCCACCCCCTGCTAACTTGCCGACCTCCTCCACTCTTCCTACCACTCCATCCCCCACAGCTATCTCCTCCTGTACCACCATCCCCTCCCTCCTAGATTGTAAGCTCGAAAGAGCAGGGCCCTCGATCCCCTCATGTTTTGCATTGTATTGGTATTGTTCTGTCACATGTTCTGTCCCCCTTTGTAATGTACAGCGCTGAGCGAATCATTGGCGCTTTATAAATACTGTAATAATAATAATAATAATAAAGCGGCCGGTGAGTGTATATCTTCATTAAAATAAATAATAACATTATACATATAGCCCCCTTAAAGATAATTCATTATCTTTGATTATCAGCAGATATTTGTTCCAGTGCTGTTTGAAAAAGATAAAAAGAAATAGGGGTTCTTTCTGGTGTGTGTGCAGAATTTCAATGCACACAAACACATTGTAATACAAATGTATTACAGGCATTTGTACAAAATAAAAGATGAGGTTGTGTTGAATAAATAGGTACCAGATATAAAACAGTATGCTCGGAACCCAACAGGTTATGGTCCTTTCCTTCCTCAAAAACTTGGCTTCCACTGTAACCCATGCATTTCAAAGCTCCAGCTACCTTCTTCATCGGGGCGTAAAAAGCCAATCTATTTCTTTTTTTATATATATATGAAGACCAGATCCATTAACCCCCCCCCCTTAATATGCAGTACTAGTTAACTCCATCTAACTAGGATAAAATTACTTCCACTAATGTTAAAACAAGTACCTCAACTTGCACCACCTGAGAAACACATTGGCCCAGTGGTCAGGAGTGCTGGCCAAGGTTGCTGGGTGGAGATTGACCAATCAGTGATCACACATGATTCCCAGGGAATGCGCACAGGCAATGAATGTGGGTGGACATTTAGAAATGTCCCCCCACATCGGTAGCACTCCCGTCCAGACGTTTATCGGCATGCGCTGGACGGGAAGAGGTTAAGAGATAACTGCCTTTCTGCCATGTTTGGTTTCAGACAGACTGGTGTCCATGTCACTGCAAATAATGTATTACTTTAAGTGATTCTGGGGAAGAAAAAATCTACCTATATATCCTACAAAAAGATGAGGTCATTTTACTGAAACTTCTTACTACCTCATGACTTTTGTAACATAACAACGTTGTAATACAACAAACTCAAACTGATTCTTTATAATGTTGAAAGTAATATCCACAATACAGCATTATGTATTAATTGTTAAAACCAATTAATATAGATAAAAAAATATACGTATGTGGAAATTGAATATAGTAATATAAAACCTGAATTACTTAAGTTAGCAAGTATTCGCTTCATGCAATACTAATAATATTACAATTTACATTTTTGGATAAAATATTCCTGTCAAATAATAATAACACCATATACAATGTAAAGTTTAATATGCACTCTTTCTCCAGAGGTTCGTGGAGAAAAAAAAAATCATTGTTAACAGTTCTTTTGTACTCTGTTCAATCTGTACATGGATTCATCCGTTTATCCTAAAACTTGGTAAAGGATAAACATGCCTAGTCTTTATCTTGTAACGGTCTGATACCATCATACTTTCCCCAAATTTATAACCTGGGAACATAAGCTGTAAGAACTTTGGAATGCTCTTGAAATCTGTGTTCAGAAACCATGAAAATAGAATATATAGAACAAAATGTCTTCCCTCATGCCCATGTAAAGATTATATGTTCAGGCCTTCCTGTTACATTCTGTGAGTCCAGAACAGTTCCTGGGCAGAAGTGCTGGCCAAGGTTGCTGGGAGGGAGTGCCTGCAATGGTTGCTAGGTGGGGATTTCTGGCCAAGGTTCCTGGGCAGGGGTGATGGCAAGGTTGCTGGGCAGAAGTACCGGCCAAGATTGCTGGGTGGGAGATGCTGCCCAACATTGCTGGGCAGGAGTGCTGGGTGAAAGTGCTAGCCAAGGTTGCTGGGTGGGAGTGCTGGCCCAGGTTGCTGGTAAGGAGTGATTTTGAACGTTTCCTGAGCAGGAGTGCTAGCCAAGGTTACTGGGCAGGAGTGCTGGCCAATCAATAGGCCTGGCTGAAATGTGACATTTGCTCTGGGTAGGAGAGCTGATCAACATTGCTGGGGGTGAGTGCTGGCCAAGGTCGCTAGGCTAGAGTGCTGGCCAAAGTTGCTGGGTGGGAGTGCTGCTGCCCAAGGTGTCTGGGTGGGAGTGCTGTCCAAGGTTACTGAGCGGGAGTGTTATCCAAGGTTACTGGGCGGGAGTAATAACCAAGGTTACTGAGCGGGAGTGCTGGCCAATCAATAGGCCCGGCAGAAATGTGACATTTGCTCTGAGCAGGAGTGCTGTCCAACGTTGCTGGGCTTGAGTGCTGGCTAAGGTTGCTAGGCGGGAGGGCCAGCCAAGGTTGCTGGGTGGGAGTGCCGGCCAAGGTTACTGAGTGGAAGTGCTGGTCAAGGTTGCTGGGCGAGAGTGCTGGCCAAGGTTGCTGACCAGGAGTGCTGTGCAAGGTAGCTGGGTGGAAATGCCGGACAAGGTTCTTGGGCAGGAGTGCTGGCCAAGGTTGCTGGACAGGAGTGCTGGCCAAGGTTGCTGGACAGGAGTGCTGGCCAAGGTTGCTGGACAGGAGTGCTGGCCAAGGTTGCTGGACAGGAGTGCTGGCCAAGGTTGCTGGACAGGAGTGCTGGCCAAGGTTGCTGGACAGGAGTGCTGGCCAAGGTTACTGGGTGGGAGTGCTGTCCAAGGTTACTAGCTGGGAGTACTAACCAAGGTTACTGAGCGGGCGTGCTGGCCAATCAATAGGCCCGGCAGAAATGTGACATTTGCTCTGAGCAGGAGTGCTGTCCAACGTTGCTGGGTGTGAATGCTGGTCAAGGTTGCTAGGCTTGATTGCTGGCTAAAGTTGCTGGGCGCGGGAGGGCCAGCCAAGGTTGCTGGGTGGGAGTAATGGCCAAAGTTGCTGGGCAAGGTTTCTGACCAGGAGTGCTGGGCAAGGTAGCTGGGTGAGAGTGCCGGCCAAGGTTGCTGGGCGGGAGTGCCGGCCAAGGTTGCTGGGCGGGAGTGCCGGCCAAGGTTGCTGGGCGGGGGAGTGCCGGCCAAGGTTGCTGGGCGGGAGTGCCGGCCAAGGTTGCTGGGCGGGAGTGCCGGCCAAGGTTGCTGGGCGGGAGTGCCGGCCAAAGTTGCTGGGCGGGAGTGCCGGCCAAGGTTGCTGGGCGGGAGTGCCGGCCAAGGTTACTAGGCGGGAGTGCTGGCCAAGGTTACTAGGCGGGAGTGCTGGCCAAGGTTGTTGGGTGGGAGTGCTGGCCAAGGTTACTAGGCGGGAGTGCTAGCCAAGATTGCTGGGCGGGAGTGCTGTCCAAGGTTACTAGGCAGGAGTGCTGGCCAAGGTTACTAGGCAGGAGTGCTGGCCAAGGTTACTGGGCAGGAGTGCTGGCCAAGGTTACTGGGCAGGAGTGCTGGCCAAGGTTGCTGGGCAGGAGTGCTGGCCAAGGTTGCTGGGCAGGAGTGCTGGCCAAGGTTGCTGGGTGGGAGTGCTGGCCAATCTTTAGGCCTGGCAGAAATGTGACACTTGTTCTGATCAGTTGGTGGTGTATAGGGGTGAGAGCTGAATTGGTTAACCACAGCAAGCCAAAATCACAGTGCAAATGCATCTTTTGATCTGCAGAATATTGTATATGATGTATGATTGTCTCCTCCATAGACGGTGTATCCTGAGAACTGCACAGCCATCACTGAAATTGTAATCATTGGATTTAAACCTTATCATGTCTTCCGGGTTCCAATATTCATTCTGTTCCTCATCATTTACCTTTTGATCTGCAGTGCAAATGTAATGATCATCTATATAATATGGAGTAGTAGCACTTGCCTTAAGGCACCCATGTTTTTCTTAATTCAAAGCATGTGTGTCTATGAACTGCTGAGCATTACAAATTTGGTTCCAGTGATGCTCTATTATATCATTGCTGAGCGACCGACCACCACTGTAACCGGATGCATTGTACATTTACTGGTGTATGCAACTGCTGGAGATGTTGGATGTTTCCATTATGCTATGATGTCCTATGACCGATACTTGGCTGTTTGCCATCCATTACGTTATTCTTCTTTTGTGAATAATATCATCTATCTCCGAGCCATCATTGCTTTTTGGATTATTTCGATTGGATTTGCAGGTGTAATGTCCTTTGTTTTTAGCCAGTTACAATTTTGTGGCCATAACACAATATTCCATTTCTTCTGTGACTCTTCTCCATTCGTGGGCCTGGCCACCTCTGATACAACATATGCCCATTTCCTTACTGCTCTAATAAGTGCTTTTCTGATATTGGGCACAGTTTTGTCCGTTTTTGTAACGTACATGTTTATAATTCGTGCAATCCTTAAAATTCCCACATCCTCCGGCAGGAAGAAGAAGACATTCTCTACATGTAGCTCCCACCTCATTGTGTTCTCCATGCAGTTCGGTCTCGGACTTGGTGCCTATGCATTGCCTGCTGGAGCTGCAACACCTCAAGCCAATAACACTTTTACAATTGTAAACTCTTTATGTACCCCATTAGTGAACCCCCTGATATATTCATTTAAAAATAAAGAATTTCAGGCAGAATGGCTCAAAAGGGTGAGGAAAACTGACAAAACAAAAAGCTGGGGAAAATAGATAGGACGTGCTAAAATCTATCAGTTTCCAAGCCGATCCAAGCAGACCTATAAATAAAAATCACACCTAATCAATACTACTAAATGCGTTCCCTTTCTTCCCACCCAAACATTATAGGCTGCACCTATATTGTTTAGGTGGTAACATTTTCTAAGTAATAACATTCCCATTCCTCAATGGGCTGTTTTGGCTAAGGCCCTTTCACACATTGAGGACCTCATTATGATCAACTGGGGATCTGTATGTTATTGGAGGTAGGTGGGTGTAAACGAACAATCTAGTCCTTTTACACCGACCGATCCATAGGGGTGATTGGAGGGTCTGATCAGATCCACCTGAAAAAAAACTGCCAGGTAGACTTGATTGGACCCTTCATGTGGGACTTGCACACATCAGGGCAGAAAAAATTTAAAAGGGGTCATCTCAAATCTTACCTAAAGCACCCTGTCACTTAACATATGCACTGACCATAATGCTTCATAGTCACTGCAGATAAAAAATGCTTGTTTTGCAAGCGTTTGACTTTTTTTCTGCCTTTAATTACCCCTTCATGTTAGCCTATGGGGTTGATTTACATAAACTGGAGAGTGTAAAATCAACCAGGGGCGGACTGACCATTTGGAGGGCCCGGGGTCAGTAGGGGGCCCCATGAGATGCCCCTGGTACCTTTTTCACAGGCTTTGAGTTTGGGCAAGGACACAGGAGCCCCATGATCCCCTATTGCCGGGGGGCCCCATGAGTTGTCAGTCCGCCCCTGTTTCTAACTTCAGCTTGTTCAATTAAATCTTTGAAAAAGAAAAAAACTGGAAGCTGAATAATGAATGTTCTGGCCAATAAAACGAATGAATGCCCAAGCACGTGAGGCACATAAATGCACCTGCAAAAAATGTGGCTTTTTGAAGCTGCTTTTCTACTGTCGGGAGAAAAAGCATTTCGAACAGCTGGGCAACCATTCAGTGTTCATGAGGTCTAAGGCCCCTGTCACATGGTGGGTCCGATCCAGCTGTTGGTTTTTCAAGTGGGCCTGATTGGCCGGTCTATTAACGACACTATTCAGCAACCAGCAATATGTTATCATTTAGGGTGCTTAAACCTCTCCACAGTGGATCACTCTGCTAGTACAATAGTTTTGAACCCCTTGCCCTCCAGAGGATTCCCCCCTCCTGACCAGGCCATTTTTTTTTTTGTTACGGCACTGCGTTACTTTAACTGACAATTGCGCAGCCATGGAACGCCGCACCCAAATGAAATGTACATCATTTTCTCCCCATAATAGAGCTTTGTTTCGGTGGTATATGATCACCTCTGTGTTTTTTTTTTTTTTGCGCTATAAAAAAAAAAAAAAGACCGACAATTTTGAGAAACAAACAATATTTTTGACTTTTTGCTATTAAACATGTCCAGTAAAAAAATTTAAAAATATCAAATTTCGGCATAAATTTCAGCAAAAATGTATTCCGCTCCATGTCTTTGCTGAAAAAATGTTTACAAATGGCGGTATAGATACTGGGATTTTTTTTTATTTTTACTAGTAATGGCAAAGATCAGCAACTTATAGCAGGACTGTGGCAGGCGTTCTGACACTGGGGGGGAGCTGACTTGGTGTCACTGACATTCCCAGTGACACCAATACAGTGATCAGTGCTAAATAAAAATACTGACATTGTACTAATGGCACTGGGCAGGAAGGGATTAACATGAGGGGTGATCAAAGGGTTAACTGTGTGCTGTTTTACTATGGGGCTGTTTGCGTAACTGCAAGCACACTGCTTTGTATGGATGTGCTTTGCACAGCCATGCAAAGCAGTGTGCACAAGCTGACAGGGAGGAGAACAGTTTTACTTACAAACAGTTCTCCTCCCTATCAAAGATCCTCAGCAATCACCGGGCGCCGCAGGGTAACCACCAGCTGGAACCTGGTGACTGACAGCCGCAGCTGCAAACGGCGGCGCAGGTATGGCGTGTGTGCACCTCGTGTGTGCCCCCCTACTCGGAGATGCAAAAATAACGTATACAGTATATACCAGGGGCGGACTGACAACTCATGGGGCCCCCAGGCAATAGGGGATCATGGGGCCCCTGTGTCCTTGCCCAAACTCAAAAAAGCCTATGAAAAAGGTACCAGGGGCATCTCATGGTGCCCCCTACTAACCCCAGGCCCTCGGGCACTGCCCGAGTTTCCAAATGGTCAGTCCGCCCCTGTATATACATGATTTTGTGCACCCATGCCGCCCTGTAGCAGTATTTCTGCTATAGGGCAGACGGGAAGCGGTTGATGTATAGAATAAGCACACCACATAGCCAAACTGCTTTAGTTTGTATTAGACATATACAGTACATAGAATCACCCAGCAGGTACAGCTAACCCAGTATGTCATCTGCTAAAGCATTTTGGCTATGTGGTGTGCTTACTCTATATATTCAAAACTATTGGATGGTCTATTAACCCCCTATAGACCGGTGGGCATAAACAGACCGTTTACATCCACCTATCTCCAATACAATCTAAGTTCACAAAAAACAGAAGGGATCTGTCTCCCTCCATCTAGGCAGATTGGAATGGGAGTGGCTGAGTGAAAAAGGACAGGGAAGACCATTTACTCCATGGCCACCCATAAAACAGAGCGGGCTTGGCTCTGTGCCCACTGAGAATACAGCAGGTTTGGCTGCACTGACAGCATCTGCTCAGAAGGTGAAATGTGGCCTGGCCAGTCCAGACCCAATGGGGAGGATTCCTATATGGGATGGCATGTCCCTAGCCTGTCCCTCCAGGACCTCTCTCTGCAACAATCACCTTCTCTGGTATCTTTCCCAATACCATCTACTTCATAAATACTTGGCAAAATCTGGGGGCAGAAATTCAAAAAGGCTCTGCTGACCCAAGATGGCCACCAGGAGTCACCTGAATGCGGAATAGACCAGAACACCACCCCAGAGAACCAAGGGTTCTCCTGAATTCCTTTCCAGCTGCAGCAGTACTACAGAAGGTGCAACCCATAGTACAGAAAGAAGACTGCACCTGCCTGCACCCCTACTGATCAAAACGGAGTCAGCCCCATTGGGATCCAACACTTATATTGACATTGATCGGGGCGTACCTACAGGGGTCACAAGGGTCATAATTGCAACCTGGGTCCATGCTGTAGAGGGACCATGCGGCCCCCATGTATGCCTGGATCGAAGGAGTGGCAGGAGCAGCTTCCTATAGGAACCAATCTCTATGTGTTTCCCCTGCAGCCACTGAATGCTGGCTTCTCCTCTCTCTCCCTACCGCAGGCATTCAGTGGCTGCAAGAGGAAAATAAGGATCTATTCCTCTATTTTCAGCCACCCTGCCACTTCTCCTTTCCAGTTTTTTTCTGCTGCCCCACTCTGTCCCCCCTGATCTTCAGCCCTCCCCTGCTCTCTATCTCCATGCTCTCTACTTTCCTGCTGCTGCGCTCTCCACCCCCTGTATTCCTTGGCCCCCATGCTCTCAGCCCCCCCCCAAACTCTTTCCTGGCCACCCCTCTTCCACAGTTCTGCCAGGTTCTTCCTCCCCTCTCCTGCAGTTAGCTGCGGGGGATCTGTCAGGATGGAGAGCAGGGTAGGGGCTGGTAAATGTCATTTATAGGCACCTTCCTTTTCTGAATGGACAATCAGTGATTGGTAGCAATCCATGACTCTGTCCATTCATAACTGAAACATAGTAAACTGTATGTACTATGCTTCAGTTTATGAATGGACAGGAAGCTTTATACAGAGCTATTCCTGTCCACTAATTCTGTGCAGCTGAGGCTGCAGAGAAGGAAATTTAGGGTTGTGGCCTCAATCTCTTTGCTCTGTCCCAAAGGTGGAACATCAGAGGTCTGTTTAGACCCCTAATATTTCACCAAAGCCTCCCAATGTGGCTCATAAAAAAAAAATTGTAAAAACAATAAAAAAAAGGTATAACAAAATAATTTTGCATATATCTTCTCCACCTGAAGGCACCACCACAGCTCATACCACAAAGGTTGTAGTTCAAAATGATGGTTACAAAATACGGATGGAAATATAGGAACATAGAGCTTCTCCTCCAAAAGACAACTCCACAATTTATACCATAAAGGTTATACTTCATTAAACCATCTCAGGATGTTAAGATGCATGTAAAAGAGAATGTCACTTACCTGATTGGAGACTGAAATGACAAGGTCAGCCTCAGTTGTGTCACTAGCCCTGACCCCACTGGAAGTGGAACAGAGGTTGTCTAGGGCCCAAGGGGACAAGAGCACCAGCAGATGTTTGCAGCTCTTGCAGTTGGAGACTTTGGAAGACTGATGAACCTCTGATTCAGAAACAGTAGCGATATGCAGGGCTGGTATGGTAGGTCGCCAGGTGTGCACCAGCTAAGGCAGGAAGCTGGGATGGGAGACAGGAGCAATGTCATAGGAATAGCTGGGGTCATCAACAGGAGGACAGCGAGGTACCAAATCAGAAGCAAGCCAAAGTCATCAGCAGAGCCGAAGTCAGGAACCAGTATCAAGCAGGAGAGTAATCAGAGTCAGGTCAGGAACAAGCCGGGTCAGCAACAAGGAAATCACACACAGGAACAAGCAGGAAATGGGGAACAGCTGAAGACCAGTCAGCACTCAGCACAGGCAGAGGCACCTTTTAAATAGTCCATCTGGTGCCAATCTTTGCCGTGCATGTGCACGTGCATGATCGTGCATTTTTGTACGTATGCGCATGTCTATTCACGGGAATTCCCTTACAGAGAAACAGAAGCTCCTCAAGGCATAGTATTAAGGAAATGCAATGTTTAATAGAAGAAGATGCACTTACAAACCAATAGTAGTATAAGCATATAAATTTGCTATTGTTTCCAACTGACAAAATGGCCGCAGTACATGGCATGATGACACCAGAGGGCGAAGCTTCACCCTACGCATTTTGTCATAAATGGCATTGTCAGGGGCGTGGCCTACAATGTCCATCACACCTTATATAGCGACAGACAGCAAAATGATCCGCTCTCAA